CCCCGTGCCCCGCTGACCGTCGTTGGGCATGGTGAGGATGGGGATCTGGGTGATGGAGCCGTTCCTGCCCTCCACCCGCCCCGCCCGCTCGTAGATGGTGGCCAGGTCGGTGTACATGTAGCCCGGGAAGCCGCGCCGGCCCGGAACCTCCTCCCGGGCTGCCGACACCTGCGGGGGGGCTGCGCTGGGGCTGGGGGGGCTCCAGCACCACAAAAACCCCGAGAACACCGGGGGACACCAGTGCCACCAGTGCCCAGGGCACCCCCAGCAACCTGAGCGCCCCGGGCACCCCAAGAGCCCTGGGAACCCCACGTGTCCTGGGCATTCCAAGCATCCCAAACACCCCAAGAGCCCTGGGAATCCCAGATATCCTGGGAACCCCAAGAGCCCTGGGAACCCCACGTGTCTTGGGCACCCCAAGAACCCTGGGCACCCCGAGCATCCCAAACACCCCAAGAACCCTGGAAACCCCAGATATTCTGGGCACCCCAAGAACCCTGGGAACCCCACGTGTCCTGGGCACCCCAAGAGCCCTGGGAACCCCACATGTCCTGTGCACTCTGAGCATCCCAAATACCCCAAGAACCCTGGGAACCCCACGTGTCCTGGGCATCCCAAGAACCCTGGGCACCCCAGATGTCCTGGGCACTCTGAGCATCCCAAACACCCCAAGAACCCCAAATGTCCTGGGCTCCCCAGGCACCCCCAGCACTCTGGATACCCTGAGCATCCCAGGCACCCCAAAATCCCCTGGGCACCCCAGGTGTGCTGGGCGCCCTGAGCACTCCAGTCACCCCAAGTGTCCCAGGCATCCCAGGCTCTCCAAACACCCCAAAATCCCCTGGGCACCCCACATGTCCTGGGCACCCCACATGTCCTGGGCACCCCACATGTCCTGGGCACCCCAAGCACCCCAAATATCCCAAAACCCCTGGGCACCCCAGGTGTGCTGGGCACCCCGAGCACCCCAAATATCCCAAAACCCCTGGGCACCCCACGTGTGCTGGGCACACCCAGCATCCCAAACACCCCAAGAACCCTGGGAAGCCCAAGCACCCCAAACACCCCAGGCACCCCAAGTACCCTTGGAACCACCGGTGTCCCGGGCACCTTGAGCACCCCAAACTCCCCAGGCACCGTAAGAACCCCAGGTACCCCAGATACCCCAGGTACCCCAGGTTTCCTGGGCACTCTGAGCACCCCAAGCACCGCAGGCACCCCAAACACCCCAAACACCCCGGGGACTCCAGGTAGCCCAAGCACCCCAATTACTCGGGCACCCCGAGCAGCCCGAGTCCCCTGGGCACCCCAGGCACCCCAACAGGCCAGTCCCCATCCCCTGCCAGCCGGGGAGGACCCAGGGCACGGGGACAGGACCCAGGGCACGGGGACAGGACCCAGGGCACGGGGACAGTCCCCGCTGACCTCCCGCAGGGCCTCGGCGTAGGAGCTCATGTCGGTCAGGATCACCAGCACGTGCTTCTCGCACTGGTAGGCCAGGAACTCGGCCGTGGTGAGCGCCAGCCGGGGGGTGATGATCCTCTCGATCCTGCCGGGCACGGGGGGCACCCCCGGGGCACGGTCAGCCCCCGCAGAGCAGGTCTGGGGGGGCCGGGAGGGCAGGAGGGGGGTCCCCCCGCTTCTGCAGCCCCCGCTGCTGCTCGGGGCAGGGCTGGCTCCCGGGGAGGGACCCCCAGCTTTGGGGTCCTAGAACAGCCCGACCCACCTGAGAGTGGGCAGAGCCTCGTGGGGGGAGAGGGGGAGGGAGAGGAGAGGGAGAAAGGAGAGAGGAGAAAGGAGAGGAAGGAGGAAAGGGAAAAGGAAAAAGAGAAAGGAGACAGGAGAAAGAAGAGGAAAGGAGAGGAAGGAGGAAAGGGAAAAAGAAAAGGAGAAGGAGAAAGGAGAGAGGAGAAAGAGAGGGAGAACGGGCAAGGAGAAGAGAGAAGGAGAAAGAAAATGGAGGAAAATGGAGAAGAAAAGGAAAAAGGAGAAGGAAGGAGAAAGAATAAGGAAGAAGGAAGAGGAGGGAAAAGGGAGAAGGAGAAGGAAAAAGGAGGAGAAAAGAGGAGGGAGAAGGAAAAGGAGAAGGAGGAAGGAGGAGGAGGAGGAGGGAGAAGAAGAAGGAGAAAGGAGAAGGAAGGAGAAAGAATAAGAAAGAAGGAGGAGGAGGAGGGAAAAGTGAGAAGGAGAAGGAAAAAGAAGGAGAAAGGAGGAGGGAGAAGGAAGAGGAGAAGGAGGAAGGAAAAGGAGAAGGAGGAGGAGGAGGAGGAGCGGGTGCCGGAGCCAGGGGAGTGTCTCACGTGGGGTCGTTGGCCAGGTTGAGGAACAGGCACACGTTCTCCATGGAGCCGTTCTCCTCGAAGTCCGACTTGAAGAACCGGGCGGTCTCCATGTTCACCTGCCCGGGGGGGACAGCGCTCAGCGGGGCCGGGGGCACCGCGCCAGGCGGGGCAGAGCTGCGGCCGTGGCTGTGCCCGGGCTGTCCCGGCCCGGCCCCACTCACCCCCATGGCGGCGAAGACGATGGCGAAGTTGTCCTCGTGGTAATCCACCACATCCTTGGACTTCTTCACCAGCCCCGCCTGGCGGCAGATCTGCGCCGCGATCTGGGGGGACAGAGGGGAGGGCAGCGCGGAGGGGACACGGCCCCCCCGGGACCGGGACACGGCCCCTGGCAGCGGGGACAGGGCACGGAGACGGGAGAGGGCACCCCAGGAGGGACCCCCGCACCCCCAGCTGCCCGCCCAGCCCACGGGGGGTGCCCACCACACCCGAGGGGCAGCGGGGTGTCCCCCTCCCTGTGACACCATCGTGCCGTGCCCGTGGTCACCCTCTGCTGTCACCACCCAGCTGTTTCCACCCCATCCCACCCCATCCCATCCCATCCCATCCCATCCCATCCCCCTCCGGCACTTCCAGCCCCTCCTGCTCTGCCCCCCCGTGTCACGGCCGCCCCCGCGGGGATCTGGGGTGCTCTGCAGCCCCCCAGCCCGGTCTGGGCCCCCATATCAGCCCAGACCCCCTTTCCCCCCAGCTCTTGGCACTCAGGGTTTGCTTCCCCCTCGCTGTGTCGGGGGGAGACCGAGGCACGAGCTGCCGGGGCTCCCCTGGGACAGGAGAGAGGCTCCAGCCCCCCAAATCCCTCCTCGTGCCCCCCCGGGCCCCCACCTCGTTGTGGGGGAGCCCGGCAGCAGAGAAGATGGGGATCTTCTGCCCGCGGGCGATGCTGTTCATGACGTCGATGGGCGAGATCCCGGTCTGGATCATCTCCTCGGGGTAGATCCGCCCGTGGGGGTTGATGGGCTGGCCTGGAGCGGGATAGGGACGGGGGGCACCCCGGGAAGGAGGAGTCATGGAATGGGGCCGGTTGGAAGGGACCTTAAAGCACCTCCAGTTCCACCCAGGGACACCTTCCACCAGCCCGCGTTGCTCCAAGCCCCGTCCGACACGGCCCTGGACACTCCCGGGGGTGGGGTGGCCTCGTTTGCCCCCGTTGGTGCCAAAAATTAGGGAACAAATTCCGGAGATAAGGAGGGAGCAGCTCCTGGGGCAGCATCTCCAGCCCTGGGGTGGGACAGGCACCGCCCTGGCACTCGGGCCCCCCCGGAGCACCCCCGTGGGGGGGATGGAGGGAGGGAGGGAGGGATGGAAGGATGGAGGGATGGGTGGAAGGATGGACGGACGGATGGAGGGATGGAAGGATGGACGGACGGATGGAGGGATGGGGTGGCACCACGGGGCAGCCCTGACCACCAGCGCTCCCCCCCCGTGCCAGGCTGTCCCCGAGTCCCTCCCGCATTCCCAGGGCCGCCCGGGGCAGCCCCGCGGGGCCGGAGCCGTCACCGTTGATGTCCAGGAAGTCCTCGGCCATCACCGGGGGGCCGCTGTCGATGGGTTTGGCCGAGCCGTTGAACACCCGACCTGCAAGGACAGAGGGGCTCGTCCCTGCCCGGGGCCACCAGCCGGGGTGGGGGGGGGGAGGCTGCCGGGGGGCACCTGCCAGCCCGTGGGCGTGGGGCAGGGTCCCCATCCCCATCCCGGTCTCCATCCCCATCCCGGTCCCCATCCCCATCCTGGTCCCCATCCCCATCCCGGTCTCCATCCCCATCCCCAGCGCTCCCACAGGACACCCCTGGGGTGCCCGGAGGGGACACCGGTACCGGTGCTGGGGCGCTGTGGGTGGGGAGCAGAGGAATTGGCACCGGGGGGGCTGTGGGCACCCCCAGACCCCATCCCAGGGAAGGAGGTGTGCCCGTGTCACCGCGTGGGGTGGGCGGTGTCACCCGGGGGCTGGGTGACAACTCAGCTCTCGTGGCAGGAAGGTGCCAGCCCATGGGGACGAGAGCCCGGGACCCCCTTTCCATGTCCCCAGCCACCCCCATCACCTCCCCCTTGGGGTCCCCCGCTCCTGGGCGGGGGGGTGACACCGAGACCCCCCCAACCTGCCCGAGGGGGGGTCACACGGCATCACCGCTCCCTCTCAGCCTCATCGACCGGCTCGGAGCCGCGGCATCGATCGCGACGAAGCCGCTGCGCCCACACGCCGCCCCCCCCGCCTCCCCCCGCCCCGCTGCCGCCCCACGGGACGTTCTGCCGGTCCCCACCAGGGCCGGGGACACGTCACGGGTGTCAGAGCGGATCAGGGTGATGGCAGGGCCGGGGCGCGGAGCGCGGAGCATGAAAGGTCAGCGGGCACGGCAGAGCCGCGGCCCCGGCCCCGCGCGGGGACCAGCCAGGGAGGGGGGACCAGCCAGGGAGGGGGGACCCCGGCCAGGGCTGAGGGGCGGCACTGCGGGAGCGCTGGGGGGACGCGCTGGCCGACCCTGTACGGGGACAGACGAACCCTGGCTGTGGGGAGCTGGGGGTCTCTTGCCGGGTGAGGAGGGGGTCCCTGGCTGGGGCAGAAGGGGTCCCTGGCTGTGGGAGAAGGGGTCCCCGGCTGGGGGAAGTGATCAGGTCCCTCCCCGTGCCCGGCCGTCACCGCTGGCAGCCGAACCGCGCTCGACACGTGCCCTTTGCGCTGCCCTTTGCGGCGGGGCGCGGGCGCTGCCGAGCCCCGGGCACCGGGATCCGTCCGCGGCGGGATGGAGATCGCGGCAGACACGCGGCCCCCGACCACGGAGCGGCACCGGAGCCCAGGGTGTCCCCCCCGCGACCCCGAGTGACCCCCGTCACCGGCCGTGACCCCTCTGGCGCTGGGGGACACTCAGGAACCTCTAACGTGGCTTGGGGGGGGGGTTTGAACACCCCCGGGCGAGGCTGGGGGGGCCCGGGGGGGCTGCCGGTACCCAGCCGTGCAGGGGGTCTGTGGGGATAGAGGGGGGCTCACACCCGGCCATAATGAATCCCAGACCGGTTTGGGTGGGAAGGGACCTTAAATCCCATCCAGTCCCACCCCGCCATGGGCAGGGACACCTCCCACTGTCCCAGGTTGCTCCAAGCCCCGTCCAGCCTGGCCTTGGACACTTCCAGGGATGGGAGGGTCACGTGCTCAGCCCCAGAGCTGAAGCCCCCCCCCAACATCCCCAAAGTGCCCCTCCCGCGTTACCCCCCACCCACGCCCCGAGCTGTGTCTGGGCTCAGCCACGGGCGGGGCTTACCCAGCATGTCCTCGGACACGGGGGTGCGCAGGATGTCCCCCGTGAACTCGCAGGAGGTTTGCTTGGCGTCGATCCCAGATGTTCCCTCAAACACCTGCGGAGACCCCGGGGCAGCGGGCGGGGGGGGCAATTAGTGGGGATTAATGGACACGGAGGGGAGGGGGGCGCGGGGGGATGTGATCCGCGCTCACCCGAAACCCCCCCAGGGAGGAGAGACAAAAGAGGGAGGGGAGCCCTCGGGGTTAAGAAAACCCCCTTCTGAGGGGCTTTGGGGAGGGGGAACCCCGAGGGGGGGGATCCCGCTCCCTTATGCAGCGCCCACGGCGGGGCGGGGAAGGCTTTTTGTTTGATCAGTGTAATATTTGACATCATTTCTATTAATTAACCTCCAAATCGCTGCTTTAATTGGAGCCGGGTGGCCCCTGGGAGGGGGGGGCGGGGGACACGGACAGGCCTGAGGGGGGGCGATGGCCGCAGCCCCCCGCGGGGCTGCAGGTGCTGCGGGTCACCCCCAACAACGCCGGGTCTGCGAAAAGCTCATTTTCTTCCCTTTTATCCCTATTTCCCTCCCTTTCCCCCGAGCCTGACTCCCTAATAGGATTAAAAGGGCATCGCAGAGACGCAGGTGCCATTAGAGGAGTGATTTTGGGCAGCTGCGCAGCCCCCCCGAGCCCTGGGGGGGGGGCTGGTTTAGGGGGGATCCGGCGTAATTAGGCAGGATGACCCCAAACAGTCCCAGTGCTCCCAGGGAGCCCGGATTGGGGGCACCCCGGAACCCACCGCCCGTCCCAGTCGGGGCCCCGCTGGGGACCGATGGGGGGGGCTTGGCAGGGGGGTCCCGGGTCTTCCTGTTGGGATGGAGCGGGAGGTTGGTGTGTGGGACGCGGGGATAAGGGATGGGGACAGCACCTGTCCCAGGACACTGACAATCCGGGACAACACAAATCCCGGGAGCGCCCTGCCTGTCCCGGGATATCACCTGTCCCCGGGCACCTGTGCCGGGACACTGCCCGTGCCAGGACATCGCCCATTCCAGGACACCGCGTGTGCCAGGACAGCGGGCCTGGACAGCCCGACAGCGCTGGGACAAGGACGCGGCAGCCACCGCTGGAGGGGGACAGAGCCCCGGGACAGAGCATCGGGACAGAGACCGGGATAGAGCCCTGGGACAGAGACCGGGACAGAGACCGGGACAGATCCCCGGGACAGAGACCGGGACAGAGACCGGGACAGAGACCGGGTCAGATCCCCGGGACAGATCCTCGGGCCACGCCCCCGAACACACTCCCGGGCCGTGCGGTGCCGCGTGTCCCGTGTCCCGCCGGGCTCACCTGGACGATGGCTTTGGAGCCCATCACCTCCAGCACCTGCCCGCTGCGGGTGCTGCCGTTGGGCAGCGTGAAGTTCACGATCTCGGCGTACTGGGCGAACTGCGGGGACAGGGGCGGGGGGAGTTGGGGCGGGGGGCTCCTCTGTGCCCCCCCAGCCCACCCCTGTCCCCCCAGCCCTGCCAGGCCGCCCCATTTCCCCTCCTGAGGGGCGGGTTTGTGCTCCCTGAGGCCACCGCGCACTGAGGGGGGACACGGGGGGACGCGGGGGCCGGGGGAAGGTGCTGCCTGTCCCTGCCCCGTCCTGGAGCCACTCCGGGCTCTGCACCGCTCCTGCCTCGGTTTCCACAACGCTGGGCAATGCTCCCCAGTAACGGGGACAGTCCCAGTACCGCCAATTCACACAGTTCCTGCCAGGCACGGACAGGGCCACCACGGTGCCACCTCGCACTGGCCACGGGGACGAGTGGGACTTGGCGCCCCAGGGGACACCCCCCACCCTCCCCAACCCCCCCGGGGCGGATGGAGGGGACTTTTCTGCCGCCCTTTGGCTGAGGGGACACGTCCTGCTCTGGGGACAACGTCCAAAGGGTCTCTCCCCTGCCCAGCCCTGCCTGCCCAGCACACTCCGGGCTCTCCTCTTCCTCCTCCTCCTCACTCCCAGCCGCCACCGGGGCTGCCTCCGGCCCTGTGAACTTTGGACTTTAATTCTTCTGGAAGGACCTTTGGATAAAGGACGACAAAGGCGAGGAAACCCCCGCCACGGGCTGGCTCTTTAACTGAGCTGATTAATTCCCGTCCCGCCGGGCTCGGCGTGAAAGGGGCCATGGAAACGAGCCAGCGGGCAGCAGAGCCCCTCGGAGGGTCCCCCAGGTGCCCGGAGCCCACCCAAGAGAGCCCAGACCCTGCGCCGGGAGCAGGGACAGGCAGGGTGACACCAAGGTGTCCCGGGCTGGGACACAGGCTGAACAGGGGGTCGTGGTGTGGCCTCACTCAGAGCGGGGTCCCGGAGGGAGCTGGGGCTTGGGCAGGGGACAGGGGACAGACAGGAGCCACAGACTGGGCAGGGGACAGGGGACAGACAGGAGCCACAGATTGGGCAGGGGACAGGGGACGGAGCCTGGGGAGAAGGGCTGGATTTTGGGCAGGGGCACAGGAGAACAGGGGGCAGGGGCCGAGCTCGGGCAGGACACGGGGAGAGGACACGGGGGCCGGAGCGCAGAGCGTACACTCGTCCCCCGGCGCACACACCGCCCGCACGGGGACACGGGGACACGACAATCGCACGGGGACACGGGGACACGACAATCGCACGGGGACACGGGGACACGACAATCGCACGGGGACACGGGGACACGGGCTCTGCTGCCGACCGCGTCCAGAGGAGGGAGCTCGGACCCCAGAGAGGAAGGGACAGCCCGGGGGACAGGGGACAGCCCAGGGGACAGCCCAAGGGACAGTGGAGAGGAGACAGGGAACAACTCAAGGGATCAGGGGACAGGAGAGACGGGACAGGAGACCAGTCCAGGGGACAGGAGACCAGTGACAAGGGACCAGCCTGGAAAACGGCCCAGGGGACGAGGGTTGGGGAGAAGGGATGCGGGACAGGGGAGAGGGGACAGCCCAGGGGACACGAGAGAGGTGATGAGGGACAAGCTCCCCCCGGTGCCCTCTCCCTGCCTGGGTGGCAGCCCAGCCCAGGGGGGACAGCGCGGTGGTCCCTGCCCAGCCCCAGGTGACACTGCCGAGGTGTCCCCTTGTCATCCCCCAGACAGGGTCCTACCTTCACGTTGTCCAGCACCACGAGTGGCCCGTTGACCCCACACACCGTCCTGTAGGCTGGGGGAGGGAAGGACACACCGTCAGTCCCCGGGGCTGGGGAGGCTCCCGGGGGGCTCCCACCCCGACCCCAGCACTGGCAGCACCAAACCCCGGGATCCATCCCACTGCAGTGCCACCCCCTCCTGCTGTCCCATTCCTTGTCCCAGGGCCAGCCCAAGGGACCAGTGGCAGCTGAACCGGAGACCTGGAGCACCCATCCTGCAGGAATGTCCCTCCTGCCATGGTGCCTGGGGACAGCTGGATGTGTCACCTCCTGGAGGTGTTCCCACACACCTGGCAGGGGTGTCACCACTGGGAATGTCACCACAACCAGCAGTAAGGCCTCCCCTCGTCCCCCAGCTTCCCCGGCTCACCCCTCCAGCAGCACCAGGAGAGGTTCCCTGCCCTGGGACACCCCACCCTGGCAAGGTGCCACCACAGCCTGGTGACCTGCTGGAACTCCAGTGGCTCCTGCAGGCCCCAGCAGGGCGTCTCCACCCCACCAGGCCTTTCCCACCCACCTCACATCCTCTGTCCCAGCCTGGGCACAGACCCTTCACCCCCAAAACCCCCGGGCCCAGCCCTGACCCCCTGAGACGGGCACAGCCCAGCAGAGAGTCATGGAACACACTGGCTTGGGTTGGGAGGGACCTTTCAATGTCACCCAGTGCCACCCCTGCCGTGGGCACGGACACCTCTCAGTAGCTCAGGTTGCTCCAAGCCCTGTCCAACCTGGGTTTGGACACTCCCAGGGCTGGGGCAGCCAGGCCCTCCCCACCCTCACAGGGAAGAGTTTCTTCCCAATATCCCACCTAAATCCCCCTCTTTTAGTTTAAAACCACCATCCTTTGAGAATCCTGGTGGGATGCAGAGGGCACTGCCCCGAGACCCCGCGGGGCACCAGGGACACACCCAGGGTGACACTCGGGTGAGGACAGGAGGGTGCTGGGGGTGTGGCCCCCAGGGACCCCCGTGGGGCAGGAGGCACCCAGGCCATTAAGGACAAGGGTGCCAAAGGGGCCGAGGCCGTGCGGGAGCCCAGGGAGAGGCAGCAGGGCCGGGAGCGCCGGGATTGGGCTCAGCCCCGGTGGGTGTGGGGGCACTGAGCCGGCCCTGAGCTGCCCTTGATCATCCCAGGATGTGTCAGTGCCGAAATCCTGCCCTGGCAGGGCGGGGCTCGCTGACCCCGCCGGGCCCTTTCATCCCTCTGCCCCCTCTCCTCCTCACCGATTCCCTCGTGATCCCGATGGGATGGGAGGGGCCGGGCCGGCTGCAGGGCTCACCCCCCCTCCTGCCGGCCCCGGGATGGGGGGGCCGTGTGCTGGCACTGGGAGGGGGTTCCTGCCCCTCAGCATCCCGGCTGTCCTGGAGGTGCTGCTGGCATTGTCCCCAGCTGGATCAGCCCCGGGGACTCCATTCCTAGGGGATGGGTCCCCTTTGCTCCCCGCTGGCCACAGCCCAGTCTGGGGAGCACCAATCCCTGCACAACCCACAGAGCAGTGTGGGGTCACCCCCGTGGCACAACTGCACCCCAGTGTCCCCCTCCCCTCTCCCAGCCTGTGCCAGGGCACAGAACTGGCAGTGCCAGTGACCCCTGACACTTCTGCATGAGGATCACAGAATTGCAGCCTGGTTTGGGTGGGAAGGGACCTGAAAGCCCATCCAGTGCCACCCCCTACCACAGGCAGGGACACCTTCCACCAGCCCAGGTTGTTCCAACCTGGCCTTGGACAC